GACCATTCAACATATTGTCTTCAACACCAAACTCTATGCTACCCGCTGTCTACAGCAAGGTAAGATGGGGCCGCTGTGTGAAGGTTGCAGCTGTACTGTTAATACTATTCTAATGTAGTTTGGTGAGTAAAAATAGTAGTGCTTTTTACTAGGGACCATTCAACATATTGTCTTCAACACCAAACTCTATGCTACCCGCTGTCTACAGCAAGGTAAGATGGGGCCTCTGTGTGAAGGTTGCAGCTGTACTGTTAATACTATTCTAATGTAGTTTGGTGAGTAAAAATAAAGAAAAATATTTGAAGTTTTCCTGATTTCCTTTTAGTTTTTAGAACAAAGTGGTAGTGATTAGCCAGCCCTATACACCCTTAAGGAAGTCAATTTAAAGCCTGGTAACCAGCCAACAACATAAAAGTATTTGAATGCTGTGTATTTATTAATTAAGGTATTTACTTGGGGGATGGGCAAGGACTCTGGTTCCTGTTCATGTGGTGCCCTTTGGCGAAAAGACTGCAAACTCTAACGTAGACTCTTTGGGGAATCTCTCTGAAGTAGTAAGTCATTCATGGCCAACCTTTTAATTGTAGGTAATAATAATTCCAATAATATTATTAAGAACCACCATTAGCTCGGGAAGGACTGAATTCACTGACGTAATGCCAAAGTTATGCCCAGCGATGACTGCTTTGCTGAGCCCCCGGGGGAATAACTTTCATAATCCATTGAAAAGTTATGAGCTCCTTGTGCTTGCACCAAGAAAGAAGTCAGCGTTAACCATTTGGGAAGCCATGTAAAAATGGAGAAAAAGCTACTTGTGCTTTTAACAACTTAATTAATGGCTGCAAATGGAGTTAATTCTCACAAAATCCCCATGGAGGAGGTCGGGATGTGTGTTGACAATGGAAAATTATCCTGATTTTATAGGTGAGGGCAATTTCCAGACACTAGGAACAAACATGCTCAGGGAGAAAGAGAAAAGATGACTTTTTGTTGTGGAAGGAATGGGGCCTTGGGCCAGCAGGCTCACTGTCTGGCTTGGGACAAGGGAAATCATTGTGTGGGGGAAACTGAATGGAAGAGAAATCTGGGTTAAGGGCCCTAACGGAAAAGGGCTTGATTATTGCTTTTGCCGTCTGTTGGCTTTCTGACTTTGGGCCAGAAGGGTTAACTTTTCAGAACCTTAGTTTTGTCATCAATAAAATGGGAAAAATAACAGTGACTAACTGGTAGAGTTGGAGGGGTCGGTGAGATAATGTATGTCAGATTCTCATCTCAGTGCCTGGCGCACAGATAGTTACTGCTGTCTATATCCTCATTGTTTTTCCTTATTAACTGATTCTACAAATACATAATAAACATCCACAATGTACCAGGGACTGGGCTAGACATAGAGAGCAGTTTCTTTTGAGTTTATTGTCCAGTAAAAACAAGTAAACACGTTAATAAGTACAATGCTTGCAAATTGTACTAAATTTGAAAGCCTGGTTCCAGTGAGCACTCAGCAGATTAGAGCTACCATGTGCAGTCAGGGACAGAGAGTGGTTTTTAAGAACTTGGACTTTTGAGTTGGTCAGACCTAGATCAGACCAGTGTGGGTGCCAATCCCTGCTCCCAGTCTGGGCTTTGGGCAAGTCCTCCGTGCCGTCTGAGCTCCGCTTCTCCCTCTGTACACAGGGGTGGCTCTGGGCAGTGCCTGGAATGTGACAGGTGCTCAGCACATGGAAATGTTACCTCAGCAAAGCCCCAACCCATCCTTTTAGCAGGTCTGGCTTAAGTCTTTCCATCTCCCACAGTAGAACTCTGTACCCCGGGTGTAAGGAGTGTGAGGAGGAACTGCGTGTCCACGTCTCTGCCCAGACATGGACGAGAGACTTCCTACCCCATCTCTGAGGATCTGGACAAAGGAGGGCTGTCACTGGTTTGAGAAGGAAAAGAAGGGGAGCATTCCAGGAGGGCCTTTGGCCTGCCAGGGCCTCAGCCACAGGTCTGGTCCTGGTCCCGAGGAGGAACTGGGTGCAGCAGGGTTGTTTACAGGATGGGCAAGTCCCCAGGAGAGGGACTGGGAGGCAGGAGTGACCTGGCATACCTATGAGACTAGGATGGGTCCCGCTAATGGTGGTGGAGTGTCACAGGGTGCAGCTCGTGGTTGGAATGAACCTGGGAGGGACTGACCTCTCCTCACTTCCTAGTTTCCCTTTGAACTATTGGTCTAATACTGGGTGTGTAAGTCATGACTGAGCACTTATTTTGAGAGTCAGGTCTGCTTTGTCTTTAGCAAACTAGGCCTTTAGAATAGGGGTCTGCAAACTATGGCCTGCAGGCCAAAGCCAGTCCCCTGCCTGTGTTGTAAATAAAGTTTTATTAGAGCACAGCCATCCCTATTTATTTTCTGTGGCTAGTTTCATGCAGCAACACAGAGGCAAATAGTTGTGACAGAAACTGTATGGCTTGCAGAGCTTAAAATATTTACTGGCTGTCCCCCTTACAGGAAAAGTTTGCCAATGCCCAATTTAGAATATTGCCATTTTGGTAGGAAAAGATTCATTCATTGATCCATTCATTCATTCATTACACAAATAATTATCAGTCACCTAAGATGCTATCTGTGTGGTGCTAGGCCGACAAAAGTGTCCCAGACATCGTGCTGGATCCTTGTAACAGCTGTGTGAGACCATGATGTTATTATCCCACTTTGTAGAGGCTGAGTGATTTTCCCAAGGACAGAACCGGGACTGGAACCAGGCCTGTTAGTTTCCAAATCCTGCCCTGTCAACCTTAGTCTTTGACAATGTGGCCCACGTTTGTCCTTTATCTCCCCCACCAGTATGGATGACTATGAGAAGGGAAGACAGATAAAAATGTTGAAAATAACTTTTTAAAAAATCTCTGATGGAAACTGTTGCTATTTAAAGTGATGGGAGAGTGAAGTTGCTACTTACTTGGCAGAGCCTGGGCTGAGTTGAGATAATTCTTCCTTGTGCATGGTCCTGACCTTGCACTAATCACTTTAAACACTATCAAAAAAATCATCTGAAAGTGTTTTCCCTCATAACGATATGATTTCACCACTGATGTTGATAAACATTAAAATGACATAAAGCATTTCCTGTTCCAACCTGACAGAGATCTTAGAGGATTTGTCTAAATATTAGCATACCTTTAAAATAATCAGCGAGTGATTATCTGGATAAGAGGTCAAAAAAAGGATGTTTAGAAAAAAGAAATAGTAGAGTGCAGGTTTACCCTTTCAGAACTCTCCAAGCTGCTGTGGGAGAGGACATAGCTGCCCTACTGCTTTAACAGGTTAAAAATGAGCCACTATTTAGTGAGCAGCTGAGATTGCGTTATCCTTTTAATCTCATTCCAGACGTGGCTTTCAGACGTGGCCAGCATCTCCGTGTGATAAATGCAACCCAGAGTTTCTAACTGGAAATAGGAGAGCACCATCTTAGCCGAATGGTAGTGAGCAGCTGAGATTGCGTTATCCTTTTAATCTCATTCCAGACGTGGCTTTCAGACGTGGCCAGCATCTCCATGTGATAAATGCAACCCAGAGTTTCTAACTGGAAATAGGAGAGCACCATCTTAGCCGAATGGGCCATGCTGCCTTCTAATGACAATTTATGAAGATGGTTTAATCTTACAGTCTAAGTAGAGGTTCTACTGACAAGTTCTCATATGAACTGATTAGGCTTCCCCGGTAGACATTTTTATCAGACTGATTCATTCCTTTGGAAGAATGCTGGCTTTTACATTTTTTTTAAGAAGAGATTCCAAATGGCTTGTCAAGATTACATCTTGCATGTGAATCTCAGCCAGGATTATGTTACAGCCGGGACTGACAATATTTAATAGGTAGAATTCAGGCAGGATTGTAGAAATGGCGCAAGCTGGTCCCAATAAATAGTAGGAGTGTGCATGTACGGTGTACATAGATCCCAAGTAGCTTCAAGGCAGTCTGTGCATTGGATATCCTGGGAGAATGCATGGAAACATAAAATGTAATTTTCAAAGAAAATAAATTACTTCAACTTTTGTCTGTTACTTATGGTATAAGCATATTCTTATAAATTGTCTTCATGTCTGGGGCATTCCATGACCTGAATTCCTAACCACCCCTTCAGATCTGCTGTAAAATCCACATGGTGGGAAGAGGAAGGAACCAGACACTTTTGTGCTAAGCTGGCCTAATGCAGAGGTCTTGGCTGCATTTGATAAGTGATGACAAACTCACCACATCTGAAGGGGCTCCTTTGCAGTGGCAAGTTCCCTGATCTTGGAACTCAAATGGAGCTTCTAGCAGGCCATGTGGGAGGCAGGTGGAGCATGTGGCCTTTCACATCTGGGACCCTTGACTATGAGAAAGGAAAGGGGTCTGGAGGGATGTGCATTAGAGTTATCTTTGCATTGATTAAAAAGAATCAAGGACAATATCCTCTAAGTAACCTTTTTTTCTTTTTCTTTTTTTGCTTTTGAATGAAGGATGAAAGAGAAAGTGCATTAACTGTTCCTGGATTCAGTAGAGTGTAAGCTCCATAAGGGCAGACACTCCATGCATTTTCTCACTGCTGCAGCTCCAGGGTGTAGACCTGTGCCTGGCAAAAAGTAGGCATGCAATAAAGATCGGTGGAACGAATGAAAGGCCACTGAGCATTCATGCATGTATCTGCTCTGTCAATACATGTGAAGTGAAACACCTATAATGTGCCAGACATCTAAATAAGGAGCAGCCCTTAAGGAGCTCATAGTCCAATAGAGGGAGACAGACAGGCCAGCCAACAGTTCCTACCTTTTCAGACTCTTGTGGGCCAGGGACATGGTGTTATTTTATAAAATCCTCACACATGCCAGTGTGTCTACTGATTGATAAGTAAATAAGTATAGTTGACTATTTCTCAAATACATGTAGATTTGGTGTAGCTGATAAAATATAACATAATTTTAAAGGGTTAATGTATTCCTGATACTTTTTTTGTCATCATGTAATTTTTCACCTGTAGGTAATGAAATCATCGTCACGAGAGGGTCATGGAACTTTGTGCCACATAAAGGCAGGCGGGATGGCAATGGAAAGAGCAACCTGGGTGTGTGCCCCACTCCCACCAAGGCCAAAGTCTCATGATCCTTCTTTCCACTGCCTGTGTGCACGCTCTTTCCCGCAATGCCACCTCCAACCCCACCCACCTCCTTGGTTCGGTTAACTCCAAGTCATACCCACCCTCTGCTTCCTCAGGGAGAACTTCCCTACCTGGAGCCTGGCCAGAACCCCCTACTCCATGCTCTCATAGCACCACGGCCTCTCCCTCGGGATCCTCATGTGCTTGGTCATGTTACCACTATTTGTGGAATTCAGCTGATTAACTTCCATGAGAGCAGGGGCAGTGCTGGTTTTGTTCATCTTTGTGCCCCCGGGGTCTGGCACAGGCCTGGCATGCCATGGGGCTGGGCAGATGTCTGGGTAGAGAAATAAAGGGAACTCTCTGCACACCATTTGAACAATATGGACAGCAATATCTAACTCATGGGGTTGTTACAAGGTTAAATGTGACAACATGTGAGAAGTTTCTGGCTCATCACACTAATGAGTAAAAACTGTTATTTTTATTATGACTATAAATATGACTATGATAGCAAATAATTAGGGTGTATAGGACAGGGTTCAGAAGTTGACATATGGGGCAACAGCCAAATCTTCCAAGGCAAGAAATGTCCTGTTTGTCTGGACATTTTGTGCTTTCCCCAGAATCAGATCAAGGTTCCAGACCCACTCAGCTGTGTTGTGGGTGGAGAAACGACATCGGCATAGCCTCCCGCTGCTGCAAGAGCTGTGGATGGCAAGTGTCTATCACTGTGTCCTGGTGCTGTTGGCTTGGGTGAGCCGCATGCCTTCTCTGGCCCTCAGCTTCCAACATCGGCATAGCCTGACGCTGCTGCAAGAGCTGTGGATGGCAAGTGTCTGTCACTGTGTCCTGGTGCTGTTGGCTTGGGTGAGCCGCATGCCTTCTCTGGCCCTCAGCTTCCTCCTGTGCCAGGGCTGGAGTTGTGACTTGCCAGGCTGATACTTTGACATGACCATTTTGACGATCACTTTTTAAAAAAACATTATAAGGTATGACTTCGTATAAACTGTCTTTGAGTTTTGGACCATGTGGGAATAGTAGTGAAAGACCATTCATGTTTTCAGGGGACAGAAAGTGAGCCTCCTTCCAACTTTGGCAGGCAGCACAGTGCGGTGGTTAGGTGCACGAATACTGGGCCAGGCTGTCTGTGTGGGAACTCCAGCTTGGCCACTTTCTAGCTATGTGACTTTGGCAAGACATTTAACATCTTTGCTCCTTGTTTTCCTTACCTGCAAAATGCAAGACAATAGTGCCTGGCTCATGGGTTTGTTAAGAGGATTGAGTGTGTCATTGTTTCTAGAGTGCTAAGATAATGCCTGGTAAATAGGATGTATAGATGGATGTTGGGAAAATAGAATAGTTTGGTCAGGGCCCTTGCCTCAGGTCCAGTTGGGTGTGATTTTAGCACATCCTTTGTAAGCAAATTGTGTGTGTGTGTGTGTGTGTGTGTGTGTTTGGAGTTAGTGTGCATGCGCATCAATATATCTTTTTAGTTTTGTTGCTATTCTTGTGTTCTTCAGAGAGAGAGAGAGAGAGAGATGAGTTTTATTGAAGCAGGCAGGCAGGTGTCTGCGTCAGGCATCCGCCTGGTGTAGCCATGCTTTCCAACCTACAGCTTCCAAGGACTGTTTGGTCAGTTACCTAGCTCATAGACCTGTGTGTGAGGGGTCTGGGGATGCAGCCTGGCATGTGAAGGGTTTGTGACCCAGTCTGTGAACGGGCTTGAGGGGTCTGTGAGCTCCAGACCCAGCCCTAGCTTGGCAATTGACCCAGTAGGTACAGGATTACCGGCAGGTAAAAGAGCCCGACAATTGGTGTGGTCGGGTGGCTTTACAATTGGCATCACGAACAGGCTAAGTAGCTCTGCAATTGGCTATGGTGACAGGATTCCAGACATTAGCAGGACTGCCGCATTGGCATAGTCTGCAACAGGATTCTGAGCAGGTACAAGAACCGAAAGTCCTTGGAAGGAGGAAATATGGCTACTTGTGAATATGCTGTGCCCTATGACCACCTTCCTGTTGACTGGGATCTGGTTGCTGCACAGTGTACTGCAAGGCAGCATAGACCAGGTACTACAACCCAAAACCCCTTAGGAGGGGAAGGAAATGTGGCTGTCCTTGAGCATGTGGTACCTAGGGGCCACTTTTCTGATGACTGGAGCCTGGCTGCTGGTCACTAGGCTGCAAACTGATTGAGATTTGCAGCAGGAAGCAGAGTTGTTGGAAGCATGGATAATTGTCCTGTAGGACGACGTGTAGCAACTGGCCACTCCTGCCTCTCACACCAGGGAAGACAACCAACCCAGTGGTGAGTTGGGGAAAACCATGCATCTCCAGGCACAACCCGTTGTGCGTGAGAAATCGAGACAGTAAAGCAGCAGAAACAGGGAGAGCCCCTGGTGGCTCCAGCCATGAGACCTAGGGGTGGATGGTGTAACATGCTCTAGAGACTATGTAGTAAATGCATGTCACGTTTGTCTGAAGGCAAAAGGCTTGGAGGGTGCCACTTAAACCTGATGGCTGGCTGGGTGCCATAAAACCCAAGAGAAGGGTGCCACATACAGATGGGCAGATGACCGAGGATGGGTGCCCCTGCAGAATTTCAAGTATATTTTCACCTGGTGAAAAGGTGGAAAAGTTAGTCTCCATTACTATGTGCCTGTCTCTGTGGCAGCGGTTACAGGATAGCCACAGATATGCACAGGGGCAGGGCAGGCACTCCTTGATGGACCAGGCAAATGCAGCTGTTTGAACTGTGTGGGCAAACACTGCAAAAACGGCCTGAGACTGAGTGAGTAGCCACTGTAAGCCAAGCTGATTGAAGGAATTCAAAAGCCAGAATGTAAAGGGAAGCAGAGCATAAAGATTTGGAAAATTTGCAGCTTGGCCATGTGGTAGAGAAGTGGAGAGCAGGAGAAGAACGCAAGGGTGAAGCAGATAAACTGTTTGCTAAAGACATTGTCTTGGAGGTGAGGCAGCCAGATGCTAAGAGCCAAGACAATGGGGAAAAAAGCCCTATATGCACTTGAGAAGTCTGGATGAGTGCCCCACCCATCACAGGCCCTGAAGGCATTTGAGAAGTTTGGGAGAGCACCCCTCCCATCCTAGGAGAACTGAGTTTGTCTGGGAGGGCAGACCTGAGGTGTTATTGTCCTTGGCAAACTGCTCCCTGCATCCCAGCTGCTCTGGCTGGAGCAATCCTGCCTCAGCACCTCCGAAGAAAAAAAGACGAAAACCTTGGTGGCATTTACATTGTGTTAAGTTTGCAAGCCAGCAGTATGTGAGAGCAGTGGAGGCGTGGCAGCCTCCACCTAGATTTCAGAAGATGTATGAATAAGCTGGGGGACTCAGGCGGAGACCTGCTGCAGGGGTGGAGCTGCTGCAGAGGTCGTCTATGGAGCAATGTGGAGCAGAAAAGTGGGGTCAGAGGCCCCACAGAGAACCCCCACTGAGGAAATGTCTAGTGGAGCCAAGATGGCAGGACTGCCGCAGAACCCAGAACCATGGTGCTACTAGCAATGTGCAGCGCCAGCCTGGAAAAGCTGCAGGCACCAGAGCAGCTCAATGGGCTGCACTTGGCAGAGCTGTAGGAGTGAGGTGGCCCAATGTTTTAGGGGTCCAGGTGCCCCAGTGTTCTTAACGTTTGCCCTGTTTCAGTTTTGGATTTCTTTGGGGACTATTTTTCCTTTCTATTCCTCCCTTCTGGAATGGGATTGTGTACCCAATGTCTGTCCCACTGTATCTTGGAAGTAGATAAACTTGTTTTTGACTCTTTACAGGTTCACGGCTGGAAGGACTTTTGCCTTTGGTCTCAGAGGAGACTTTGGACTTTGGACTTTTGAGTTGGTGCTGCAACAAGCTAAAGAATTTTGGGACTGTGATGGAATGTGTAGTATGTAAATGTAAGGGTCATTTATCTTCACTAAGGGAACATCGCGTAAGATTCTGAACGTATAGATTGTATGGCGAGGACCCCGAAGGGGTGGATTGTTGGGAAAATAGCTTAGTCAGGGCCCTCACCTCGGGTCCAGTTGGGTGTATTTTTAGCACATCCTTTGTAAGCAAACTGTGTGTGTGTGTGTGTGTGTGTGTGTGTGTGTGTGTGTAGTTAGTGCACATGCACGCCAATATCTCTTTTTAGTTTTGTTGCTATTCTTGTGTTCTTCAGAGAGAGAGAGAGGAGTTTTAGTGAAGCAGGCTTTCTAACCTACGGCTTCCAAGGACCTTTTGGCCAGTTACCTACCTCATAGACCTGCATGTGAGGGGTCTGGGGACCCAGCCTGACATGTGAAGGGTTTGTGACTCAGTCTGTGAACGGGCTTGAGGGGTCTGTGAGCTCCAGACCCAGCCCTAGCTTGGCAATTGGCCCAGTCGGTACAGGATTACCGGCAGGTTAAAAAAGCCCGACAATTAGCGTGGTTGCGTGTCTTTACAATTGGCATCATGAACAGGATAAGTAGCTCTGCAATTGGCTATGGCGACAGGATTCTGACATTAGCAGAGCACCACAATAGATCATAGGCAGATACATATATACATACATACATATGTAGGTAGATACCTAAGTGGATGGATGGGGGAATGGATAGATGGTATATTAGTCCGATTTTGTTACTTATAACAAAATACATGGAACTGGGTAATTTGTAAGAAAACAAAATTTATTGCTTACAGTTTCAGAGGCTGGGAATTCCAAGTCCAGGGAACACATCTGGTGAGGCTCTTCTTTGGTGGTGGCTTTACAGTAATGCAGGGGTCTCACATGGCAGAAAATGGTGGAGCAGAGAGAGAGACTCTCACATACTTTCCTTTTAAAGCCTTCAGAACCACCCTCCTGACCACCATTGTTAATCCATTCACTATGGCATGGTCCTACAATCTAATCGCCTCTTCAAGGTCCCACCTTTCAAATACCATAATAGGATTTCCCACCCTCGACAGTTACTGTGGGAATTAAGCTTCTAATATATGGACTTTGAGACACAATTCAATCAATCCACAGCATTCTGCCCTTGGCCTCCAAAGTTCGTGTCCTTCTCACAAGTAAATACATTCAGAATATCCCCAAAGTCTTAACTTGCTTCAACTCAAAAGTCCAAAGTTCAGAGTCCCATCTGTGAAATCAAAACAAGTTATCTACTTCCAGGATACAATAGTGGAACAAACATAGGGTACATATTCCCATTCCAAAAGGGAAGAAATAGGCTAAAAGAATGGGGTAATAGGTCCTAAGCAAGTCTGAAACCCAGCAGGGCAGGCATCAGATCTTAAAGCCAGTGAATCATGTACCTTGACTCCATGTTTGACACCTTCTGCATGCTGGTGTGGTGGTTGAGTCCCCAAGTCCTTGGCAGCTCTGCACCTGCGACTTTCCTGGTGTCAGGTGATACTTCAGCTCTTACAGGCTGGTGTTACACACTGGTAGCTCCACAATTATGGGGTGTCCATGGGGGTCCTCCTCCCATGGCTCCACTAGGTGTGGCCTTGGTGGGGTTTTTCTGCTGCAACTCTGACCCCACATTTCTCCTTGGTGTCACTCTAGTGGAGACTCTATGTGGTGAATCTGCCCCTGTGACAGATGTCTTCCTGGGTTCCCAGTCTTTTCCATACATCCTTTGAAATCAGGGTGGAGGCTCTCAAGCCTTCCCAGCTCTAGCATTCTGTGAGCCTGAGGATCTAAAACCACGTAGACACCCCAAGGCTTCCAGGTTGTATTTTGCAAAGCTGCAAGTCCAGCCATATCTGGGGACAATTTATCTATGGCTGGAGCAGCCGAAGTAGCTGGGGTGCTGCTGTGGGGAGCAGCATCCCAAGGTGGCTCTGGGCAGTGAGCCCATGGAGGGCACCTCGGGCCTGTTTCCCAAT